CAAATTAGCGGCTGAAAATAAAATTAAAAGAAAAAAAATTTGTAATTTTTTGAAAAATACCATGCCGACGAATATGTGATGACGAATCATCACGATGATCGCGGTCTAGCGAAGAATATTCGACCGGTACTTGTGTCAAATATTCGACATTGTCACAATCTGGTGGCTGAAAATAAGATTAAAAGAAAAAATTTTTGAACATTTTTCAAATTATTTCAAATTGCGGAATAAAATGATGAGGGAAAAACAAAATTAGCGATTTATATAGCAAAATGAGAATTGTTCTGATAATTTAGGGGCCATCTAAAACAGATCACTTTTTCCATTGCATTTATCAGTCACGAAGACATCACAGTATCCATTCAACTGACAATGTTATCACTTATCATTATGATTGCATTATCATTTTGCAAAGATTTATTTTGTAAAATTTCATTTCTTTCACTTCATTTTTAGACATTCAGGTCAGTTACTTTTATCGTAATCAATCATTTCTCCTCTTCTCTTCCATTTCTTCATTATTATCCATTTGGCTGAAATATTTTTTTCAAATGATTCCAAATTGTAGAGAGGTCAACTTACGGTTACATCATCACAGCCACCATCATTCTTAACACAAAGTTGTATGGTACATGTAAAATACAACTGAATTTTATCAGAATACTTGAAAACTCGTGTTTCTGCATAAGCTGTTATGGCCTGATTATCATATTCAATATCTGATAGCAGCAAAGGATCCAAAACGCATCTGAATTAATTAATTCCACTACATTACAACTTTTTTTTTAATTTTTGGTTTGTCAAATCACGGTCAGATCGTCACAGCATCATCATTTTTAACATGAAACTGTATTTTACGCTATCTATGAAATTTTATTGAAAATGTATACTTTGACTTACGAAAAGCATTGAAATTTAGCTGTTGAAAAGTATTCGATAACTGAGAAATTGAAGCTTAAAAAAAGAGAAAAATAGATTAAAAGATAAAATTTTTGGAAAAGACCCTTTATTGTCCACTATCGGAACATGCTTTCCTTGACCATCATCAACATGACATGAATGAATTAGAATACCATATACCGTACCAGCTACTAAATATCACACATCATTGCAGCAAATTTGATTTATAAATTTATTTTCAAAATAAACTGTAGAAATTAATGAATTTTTTTTTAAATCGTAAAATCGTAAATAAAAAATTCTAATATCTCTCTTCTCAATTAGTTCCTCAACAATTAACTAATTAAAATATTATTTGAAAATTAGACATAATAAATAATTTAAGATTTTTTAAAGTTGTGTCTTTCTTCTTAATTAGCTTCTCAATAATTAACTAATTAAAATATTATTTAAAAATTAGACATGATAAATGATTTAAGAAAGAAGAAAAATTATTTTTTATAAAATTAACTTACCTAAATCGCAATGCCATACATGCCATATGTGATCACCAATGTGCGCAAATTTGACAAATGGGCCATTACGACTTTCACGTATCTCATAAATACACGTGGGAAGAGCATACTCTCTCGCGATAATTTGCGTTGTCAACTGGCTAAATACTGTCACAGTTATTTTTTCTAAAATTAACTTATAAAAATTATTTCTTATAAAATTAATTTACGTAAATCACAATGCCATACATGCCATTTTTTCATATTGTAGTGCATATTGCTGGAGAGATGGACGTCAAATGTTGCGAAATTCGTTTTAAATTTTATAATTATTCAAGTTATATGAATTATATGATTTATTAAATTGCAATTATTCCTATTACCTGTTAGCTTATATTTTTACCTAAACTTCCTTACTTTTATAACTTATAAAATAAGAAGGTAATTTAATAAATCATATACTTCGAATAATTTAAAAGATTGTCTTATTTTAGTTTTTCAAGAGGAAAATTACATCTACCGTGGTGATTTTTCAGAATTAAGTCCATCTCAAATATCGCAACATGTCTAATGCTTAATTATTGATTAATTATTAAATTACAAAAACAAAAAATTTTTCTCAGTGGAGAAAAATTTTCGCTCATTAAGTTTAAAACAAAAACTTTGTTAAATTTTGAATTCCATGTAAGAAATTTGTTGGTTTACCTAACATCTAATGTAGCTTCTAGTGCTTTAACCGATTCAGTGAAAAAACATCGAATTTGATATGCTCGATCAACTTCTGTTTCAAAGATCTTAAAATTAAACTTTGCCATTACTTACAGCGTTTGAAAATTGAAATCAAGAAAGTAGACTGAAATGCCATATTAATAAGATC